AGTTTCTCAACCATCACATAGAAGCAAGCACTGACTTGACTGGATTGGTGTTGAAAATCCGGATGTTGTTCACGCTTTGTGCTGAGTGCAGTAGATCTCTACACTGATTTCAGATTAGTGAAAGACTATCTTACTTTTTCGACCCTGGTTTTGACATCCTCGTCTGTGCTGCGTGTAGTTAAAACGATGCCGCCTATGTGAGTAGATGAAAGAGAGATGAGCCTTGCTGACGAGTTCCAGAAAGCACGAAACCAACGTCCAGGGCTTCCTGCCGATTGCCTCCAACCAACTAACATCCACTAGTGTGCACCGCGATGCTGAGCATTCTAGCTTGTTTGCCATATTGCAGATATGATCGATAGGATTCGGTTTGCACTTAGGACTAGACAATATGAAATTGGTTGCACTCCTGTGACTAATCAATATATACTTTTGGGTTTCTATCGTTGATAATGATTGGTGATTGTTGTTGTTGATGGCGTTGGTTGGGCATCTTCATCACATCTGTCTTCTCTACATTCACTTCAAGAAGGTCACGTCTTCGCCGCCCTACCCTACCCTACCCTGCACTGCACTGCCTCCTCTGTCAACTTGTCAATTTTCCCCTGTGCATCTTCAAGTTTGTGCAACATCAGACACAAGTCATCGGCGAAATCCAAGTCTTCTAGGATCTTCTCCCCACTACACCCAGCACATACACACCTCTTCTCACAACTCATCACTATTCTTTCCTGCATCATACACTCCACTCAACCACAATCACCAATATCATGGGTGATAGTAGGCGGCAGCCACCCTCGTCTTACTCCTGTCTTCACTTCATTCCACTTCACTTCACTTGAAAGGCATCACTCAGCTTGCCATTGTCAATTACTTGGCATGTGACCTCTTCATATAGCTTAGCTGTTCAATGAGATTGATAAAGGTTTGTGGTATTCCATAGAGTTGAAGCAACTGCCTGCCAAATTACTTCTCGGTTGACTCTGTCGAAAGCCTTTTCCAGGTCGATGAAGTTGAGGTAGAGAGTTGAGTTGACTGCCATTGTATACTCTGTTGTATGATGATGCGTAATGTAGCGTTGCAATTTGGTTGGCATATGATTCGTACTTCGTGAAGGCAGCCAGCCTGTTCCGGTCGTAGTTTTGAATGCCGCGCATCCTTTAGTCTCTCTAGGATGATGCGACAGAATATTTTGCTTGGTTTGGGTGGACAGGAGCATGATTCCTCGCCAGTTCTTGCAATGACTTAGGTCTCCCTTCTTTGGGATTATTTGTATGTATTCAGCTTCGTTGTGATCATTAGATATGACGTGGAGTTTTCGGATATACTGTCCAAATCGATTGGATAGTTAGTCATTCCTCTCTGCTGACTGAGTAAATTACGATTCAACATAATGTGAAATTCTTCAACTATTCACCTTTGTACTTTGATAAACCTTCCTGCACAGATTTCAATTTCGATTTTTTGGTATGAACCGCTACCATCCTCTTAATTTCTCTAATTCCACAGGATTATTCGCCGGTCATTTTGTTTAGGTTCCATGAGCCTAAAAACGAATGAGAATCTCACAGGATGATTGCCCAATATAATAAGCATCATAAAGTCTAATTTTTAGACACAATTCTGTGTGAAGTAGGAGTTAATCATTCCTGTGAGTGTTGATTATCTTGTGAAAGTCTGTAATTCGATGCTTCTTTAAGATTATTTATAGCTCTTCAGTTGTATCTTGACGGAATGGTAGACCTACTGTGTTAATCCAGTAATCATCATTTAAATTATTTCTTGCATCTCTCTCCTCATGTTTCTGAATTTGTTGAATGACATTCTTAGGATAGTTACTTGAATGTAACATCTAACATTATTCTTCCTTCCGATTTTCTGTTGTCCTCATTCGTGATGACCTTTGTGGCCCCCTCCTGAATAACTTCCTAGCAGGTGAAATTTTACCACCGAGTGGGTGTATTGAGTTGAAATCAAGCTATCCATTTGAATATATGAACAAAACACCTTGGTGAAGAAGTACTTGCAGCCGATCGCATCCAACCAAATAACATCCATCAAAGTGCACCGTTACGGAATACCTAGTTCTCGCTGACACTCACATTCGGAAGGTAATCTAAGGAGAATGTAAAATTGGATAGAATCCTGTTCAAGAGATGATAAAATGGAAGGATATTGAAGTCGAACTCTAATGATGTCATCCGCAGCTGCAAGCTATTCATAACCTGCAGTCGAGAATTTCCCCTAGATATTTCAGGTTACTGATAAATAGTAAGTAGTGTAGCTCGAAACGAAACATATCTGGTGACCTCAACACCAGTCACCCTGCTCTGAATGTTTCTTTCGACTTATCCTGTGTACTGAAATCCCCATTATGTTTTAAGTGACATTTCGCAGCGAGTAGGATCAGATCGAGAAATCTATGGGGTAGATTGAAAAAACGTGGGACAGAAAGCAGGGTCGAAAAAGCACTGTGAAACTCTGAGAAATGTTGCAAAATTGCTTTTTTCACTCCCAGTTTTCAATGTAATTTTCAATGTTTCCTCTGGTTTTATCCAGTAAGGATGTTGACTGGGTAGCTTTCTTTCAATTTATTCACAAAGTGTATGTACATATTTCTTATGAACACACATAGATCGGATTTAGGGAGATTGCAAGGTATACGGTATATTATATATAGAAAAGGCGTGATTTACACCTTGATCTGATGTTCGATATCTAATCGATGTGTGAAGACTGCACTGTTGATGTTACTTGTCATTCCTTTTCCTAACTAAACTGGTACATATTCATGAGCACAGGTGGATAGAGCCCTCTGAGTACAGTCTATGTAACTAGCTCGACAAGAGCACTTAAATTCATATGTACACATTAAAGTGGACAGCATTGGTAACCACCTATCCTTTCTTCATTGTGTCAGTAATGGTTTGGTTGAGAAACTGACAAAAAGTTTCTCTGCATTGAATGTCTTTTCGACTAATCTGCTTATATATATATATATATATATATATATATATATATATATATATATATATATATATAGACGTTTTAACAACACTATCTCTCTAGGTTTCAACATGTGTTTATTTATGAAGTTTAGCAGATACCTATTTTAGTGGAATCTTATCTTCAGGTTATTCATTTCTTCATCAATACACTTATCAGAACGTATGTTTCTTATTGATATGGGGATAGAGAGAAAAGCTTAGTCGGGAGAGTGCCCAATCGAAATGTACTTTATGTTATCATGTCTACAGTTAGACACACAGATAGACCATGGACCAGTCAATTAGTAGTCTTTCGATACTAATAAACATTTCTACATGTCCATCGTGTCTTCTGAACTAATTAGTTGAGTCAGGAATCAACTAGGAGATTGTTGAATGTTGATAGCTGACTGTCGATATCTGTGCATTATTAGAGAATATAGTATATAGCAGTCTTGCAAATCATAACACTCATTCTGTAACTCAAGCAGTTGACCAGATTTCGTTTCCTTCGAATTGGTATGAAGCTATGAAAGTGAAAGTGAGAAGTCGATGTGCTTTTTCGAGAAATATTCCTCTCAATAACATCCACCTGTTTTCGTGATTGAAGAGGAAATCTGGGAAAGAAATACTATTCCCTTGTGCTTTCAGTTTTATTATAGTTACAGATTCAGATTGCGAATAGATGGCTACCACAAAAGAGATTTAAGTTGAGCACGGTTACCAGTTTATTCACTTCCAAAGCATTCAACATTGAACTACCACACTTTTATCTCACTTAACTTACTGACTATATTATACACTGGATTTGTACTTGTTAAACCTTCAACGCATTGTAACCACTAATAATCAAGCTATTTACAGTTATATAAAGGCATACCTCAACTTCATCGACTTGGAAAAGGCTTTCGACAGAGTCAACCGAGAAGTAATTTGGCAGGCAGTTGCTTCAACTCTATGGAATACCACAAACCTTTATCAATCTCATTGAACAGCTAAGCTATATGAAGAGGTCACATGCCAAGTAATTGACAATGGCAAGCTGAGTGATGCCTTTGAAGTGAAGTGAAGTGAAGTGAAGTGAAGTGGAATGAAGTGAAGACAGGAGTAAGACGAGGGTGGCTGCCGCCTACTATCACCCATGATATTGGTGATTGTGGTTGAGTGGAGTGTATGATGCAGGAAAGAATAGTGATGAGTTGTGAGAAGAGGTGTGTATGTGCTGGGTGTAGTGGGGAGAAGATCCTAGAAGACTTGGATTTCGCCGATGACTTGTGTCTGATGTTGCACAAACTTGAAGATGCACAGGGGAAAATTGACAAGTGACAGAGGAGGGCAGTAGTGCAGTGCAGTGCAGTGCAGTGCAGTGCAGTGCAGGGTAGGGTAGGGTAGGGCGGCGAAGACGTGACCTTCTTGAAGTGAATGTAGAGAAGACAGAAGTGATGATGATACTCAACCAACACAACAAGAAGCTGCTATCAAGATGAATGGGAGAAACTTGAAGGAAGTAGCCTCCTTCACCTATCTGGCCAGCACTGTTTCAACTACAGGTGGTGGCACAGACACACACGAGGACGTCAAATCCAGCCAGGATTGAAAAGACAGAAAGACACGTATTCCTTCATTAATATGAAACCAGTGTGCAGATCTTCTACACTGCACTCAACACAAAGAGTGAACAACATCCAGATTTTCATCACCAATTCAGTCAAGTCAGTGATGGTTAATAGACTTGGCACGTTACAAAAACAACTTCCAATAAACTACAGATATTCATCAACAGTTACCATCTACCATCTCTCGAAAGGAAGTGGAGATGGATTGGATTAGGTATACACTGATAAAGCCTATAAAGGATATTAAGCACCAGATCAGGCAGTCGAGTAGAGTCAGGTTGAGAAGACTTTAGACAACAGAGTGGAATAGAGATATACTACTGAAGCTGTATGTTCCACTAGGAACTAACCCAAGGAAAGGCATATTAAATCAATCTGTTTACTTGTTCAAGATATTTTAATTGATTAATGAATTATCAAAGTTATTACAATATCGACAACCTGAAATACAACCAGAACAAATATCTGATAATTCTAATAGAAAATAATCATAGAAATCACTTAATTGCCATTTATATTGTTTATATAATTGTATATTATCAATTATATTCTTATGATTAGAACCATTTTTATCATCTAGTTGTCTTATTATCTTGTTTACTTCTTTAATATATTCAATTGATAAGTGTTGTAAACATATTTCATTGAATAATGTTGATTGTTGTTCAATGTTGCTTGAATTCAACAATATATCAATGTTATACTGATTATTATGTAATTGTTTTAAAATGATAGATGATTTATATTCATCATAAATATATTTAGTATGATTACGTAATAAATATCGAATATATTGTATACTTGGTATTAAACTATCAGTTGGTAATCCACAAGCTCTACACATTGTAAACGTTAGAGCTATATTTAAACAATTATGAGTATTACTCTTATTATAGATTGGTATAAATATAGAATTTTGTAATGATTTACCCAATGGATCATTTATATCTTCTATGTTTTTACTATAAAACAATGAAATGAAATATATAAACTATAGAATAGAAATTGAATAGAGTGGCTACAAAAACAAATGAGTCGGTTGAAAGCTCTCGAATCAAGCGCTCGAGAAAATAATGCTAACAATTGTGTCATAAATGAAATGGATTAAGGATTCAAAATTTCAAAGTATACGATTCTTTATTCATTTCATAACTTGACTGTTGATAGCTAGTAAGTGGCTGATGAGTAGGCATCGAAACAAAGTGTATAGCGGGGAAATATGTCCATATTATGCTAATCGAATTTGTAAGATGAATTAAATATATGACACAACATTATATTTAGTATAAGAATCAAGCAGCCGATGAGGATACATACAAGAGACCATTTTTTTTCACTTATTTGTAGAAGAATATATATCCGATGTGTTTTTATACTCGGCGATACTCAATTGTTTGAAAATGTGGCAACCCTTTCATCGAATCTTTGTTTTAGAATTTAAAGTTATCAGAGAATAACATCTAAAAATCACAGTTGGCACCAAAATTCAATTGACTGATTACACATTTATGATGGAATGGATATTAACATTTGTATAGAAAACAGACATTTAGATCAATTCTGAGATGTTGTTAGGACTGTTGCTAGCTGATGTATACATGTCATATGTTGAAAACATGGCTGACGATCTCATTGGAAGGGTTTCACTTTATAAGAGATATGTTGATGATATAGTCATTATATGTGAAAAGCCTGATAATGTAATGTGCCTGCTACAGAAAATGAACACAGCTCAAAATCACATTAGCCTGACTTGTGAACAAGAGACGAACAACCAGCTACCATTCCTAGACGTATTGCTCAGTCGATGGGAGGATGGCTCGATCAGGAGGTCGATCTATAAGAAACCTACATAGACAGGGCAATATCTTAATCTCCATAGCTATTGCCCAGTCCAATATAAACGTGGTTTAGTCAGATGCTTATTCAACAGGATAAACCGTATCTGCACCGATAATACCAGGGAGGAAGAAACCAACTTACTGACGACAACTCTGACACAGAATGGATACCCGCTGAGATTTATCGACCGGTGCAAAAGTTATGTACCATTGAAAAGTACACAGTGTTCCGTTGCTGAGAAAAATGTCCACATCTCATTACCATTTAGAGATGATTCACATAGCTTTGTTGTGAAGAAAAGACTTAGATCGACCATCTGTAAAACGTATTATGCAGCTAGGGTCATCATTGTAGAGAAGACAAAGTCCATGTTACAGCACAAACCGAAACAACATATAAACGATTGCATCACATCCCAGTGTGTTTATGAATTTACATGTATGTGTGGACACACATATGTAGGGAGGAGTAATCGTGATATGCAGTTCAGGAAGGTTGAACATGTACCTAAGTGGCTACAAAAACAAATGACCTCAACAGATCCGATAAGTGCAGGTGACAAACATCCATCTTCGTGTATCGCTAAACATATACTAGAAACTAACCATAGGATAGACATGAAAGGCAACAGCCTTTAAAGTACTACATAGAAGTGGTCAGAGCCGATTGCTTAAATTTATTGAAGCTCTTGTCATCCGTAAATTTAAACCCCCGCTTTATGTATACAAAAACAATTCGTACTCACGTTGAACCTACCTTGGTAGTATTGATTTTAATTTTCATACCAAGAGTAAAGTTTTTCTACCCCTTCCTATTCCTCTGATGTTTCCTATTAACTTCATTGACCTTTTTCGTAAATTTTCATATAAATAGTTCGACAAGTCCATGTGTGGGGGATCAGATTGTTCGAAATGTATAGCGCTAATACATCACGACATATTTCAGATAATCTACGTCTTCTCATTACGCTGTTTAAATAATAGATCAGTTCATCTTTCAGTCAATATACCTTGTACAACTTGTAGAACGTCATGAATGATTCGAACTTAACACTGTAAACGAATCGAATCGAACACAAATCAGAATGTGAAACATCATCATATGGATGTGTGAACAAAAGAAGAGAAAATAGACTGTTAACACACACCTTCTTACTATCTCAACAACAGTGAATACACCTATGGTGAATATATTACGTTATTAATATAATTTATCCCTTAGGTTCATTCCTATTCCACTGTGTTCTCTCCAATCGTCTTTTGAACCTGACTCTATGACTTCGTAGAAGTTCTCATTTCTTTCTCATACTATCTCCTCCATATCAGTCTCAGCTTGGACGATCAACTCACCGTTTCTCATCTGGATTCCACTCGACTGCTTGACCTGTTGGATCATCTCCCTAGCCATTCAAATCTGATCTTCACTATAGAGTGATGGTAGACGGCAGCTGTTGATAAATATCTATAGTTTATTGGAAGTTGTTTTCGTGACATGCTAAGTCTATGAGCCATAACATACAAGCACTGACTTGACATTAGTGTTGAATAACCCTGACAGACACTAAATCCACATACAGTAAACAATCAATGAGAGGTTCGTCTTCAGGGTAGAATGAAGAAAAAACTAGTAACGGTATGAAAATAGCTATGTAAGTTATTTCAAGGTCATGGGCAAAACATCAGGCAAAAAACTACACAAAACTAGGGGGTATGTACGGGCTTCTTATTTCATTTTGTTTGTGTAGTTCACTTTTTTTTTGAAAATATTTTCTCTCATCAGCATTTCTGATGAATTTTCTAAAGCAAAGTGAATATTCGAGTTCCTTCAGAGTAGAAATCTACCGGGACCAATGGACAAGAGTTTATTATCTGTCAGATAGATACGATTTAACTTCATAGAGATTTCTTTAGAGATCTTCTAAAAGTTTGTTTTCTCCTGAACATCTCAATTGTATGATAGTAAGGAATGTTTTGAGAACAAGTCACCTTGCAAAACAGTACATTCCATTCACTTACTTGTTATTTGTATTGACTATATGTTAAAAATGTAGAGGTTAGTCAAAAGTTCCTAGACAAAGAATAAAAGTTGATCGAAGAAGCTATGCACCTTGACCAACTGAGGTGACTTCAATATGTACTGCGTATGTCAAGCCATCGCTTACCTTGATGTGTAGTACTAGAAGAATGATATGACAGGTAAATGTTACCTGGAAGTATACAAGTGATACAAACCTAACATGCAAAAGAATCTACTCTGATAACCAATCAACCACCACCACCATCACAACAACAACAACAACACTACCAACATTCAAGACAAGATATACTATTGACAGGGAGTTTCTATCGTCTTAACAGAAATCGAAAATACATTTCTGAACGACCTTGACAACATGAAATTGACAAATAAGTTAAAAGAGTTAACAACCAATGAGAGTTCAGCCTTGACAAGTAGTAGGAAAGACAAAAGTTGGCAACAACACCAAAAGGGCATAAAAACAACAATGATAAAGTTACTTTAAGTTTATAGACGAATATTAGGCAAACGTTAGGCAAAATTAGGGGTTGATAACAGCTTAAATGAACAACAACACCGACTAGTTTGACCTGTATACTATAACAGTTATTAGATGACATCCGGTAGATTAGATTATTTTCATACTTGGTTCTATCAGATCCTTCAGCCAGTCGACGAAGCTCATCTCTTAGTGAGTTTGTACGTTTAGTCCTGTACCAAAAATATGGCGGAGATATATGGATGACACATTTACTCTGTCGAATTTGGAATGTATCGACAGTCTCCTCACATATAATATAAACTCAGTAGTCGACTTAATGTAATTCTCACTTACGAGGAGGTAGAAAATGAACAAAGAGAATTATCTATATTGGATTGAAGAATAAAACGAAGAACAGATGGTAGTTTGGAGATGACCATCTACAAAAAAACCGACACATTCTAACAAGTAGGTATCTAGGCTTCACGTCATCTCATTCAATTTCAGTCAGTTAAACCGAGCTTAGTCAAGTGTCTAAAACATAGAGCTAGAAACCTGACTAGTCAGTGCAAGGACTTAAACCAGGAATTGAAAGACAGAAAAGAGGCACTAACAGTTATGTAATTATCCTCTGGAGTTTATTAATAAATTCTTACGTACACACAAGAAATGAAAAGATAACAGTGACACGAGTATGAATAATAACGACAAAACGAGTAGAAGGGAGTTCACAGCCTCCACTTTGTTACCCTATAAGGAACGTACATCAGAAAGTTTACATAGGATTCTCAACAAGGCTGGAATTAGGATGGCATCAAGCTTAAAATCTCACTCAGAGATAGGGTTTATTGACTGGCTGAAGGATCTGATAAAACCGATCCAGCAAAATAATCTAATCTGCCGAATGGCATACAGTGAGGTGAAGAATATATAGGTGAAACTAGCCGGTTGGGATCAGTTACAATAGTGGAACTTTATGAATTCACCTAAACATGGAATGACAGACTCGAATAAGATGAATAATCTACAAAGAGACTCGATTATTGTAATGTATGCATTAACACACACACACACACACACACACACACACAAACAACCACAGAGTAGGGTGGGACAGAACCACTGTACTTAACTACAATATAATTACGTGGAGATTGTGAGAGATTGATGACTGAATATTTGTTCATCGAATCAACACCCAACCAACACATGTGTAATAGGAATGATGCAACACTCATCTATACCAAGCATATGGAAAACTTTACCACCAAAAAAAACAAAGTATATCAGGTGGAAGATAGGAATTTAGAAATCAGATGTTGAAAGTAGTGTGATTACACATTGATATAATCATAAGCGCTGATAATTTCTCCTGGAACTGTCGACATCAGTTAAGTAATACCGCATCACATTGTATGTTCTATCTATCAAATAAACAAAACTACTACAGAATTACACATTAAGCAGCATCCCTGAAGAAACCTGTGTGGAAGAACACTGGAACTCCTTGAAAGAGATGTGGAAGGAAACCTGCATAACCGTGTTAGGAAGGAAGAAGAAGTAGCAGGACAAGGAATAGATCTCCATGGACACATAGAAGCTGATAGAGAATGGAGAGGGAGA